CAAGCCAAACGGCAAATTATGAAACAAAAAATTAATTGTTTTTATTATTTGTAACCTATTTTTAAACCGCTTTCCAAGTCCCTATCGTTTTTATTTTATTTTTTTTTTTGTAATTATAGTTGTTGCTTCCTTTGAATTAAAATTAAAAAAAAATAGATTCACTTGGAAATGGATAGCTCTGTTCTCTCTCCAACTCTCAACCACTGGCAGCAAACATTTTTTAAATCTTTTTTTTTAATTATTTTTTTTTATTTTTTTTATTGTAATTATAGCTGTTGCCACTTCTTTATTTAAAATTTTGTCAAAAAAATTAGATTCACTTGGAAATGGATAGCTTAACAAAGGGCTATTTCGAGATCGTTGGTTCGAATCCAACTGGCAGCAAACATTTTTTAAATCTTTTTTTTTTGTAATTATAGTTGTTGCTACCTGTTTATTTAAAATTTTGTCTAAAAAATTGGATTCACTCAAAACGGTCACACTGATCTTGTTGCGTGCAGAAGTTTTTAATTACATGCGGTAAATCGGAAACACGCCGCCATTCTCATGGATGAAGGTTTTTAAAAAAAATGTATACATTTGTAATTGAACGTTGGTTAAGATGTTAGCTAATTACTTTTGGAAGCTTATGTAGAAATGGGATGCAAAATGTCAATCAAGATACAAAAAATAAACCACTTTAAGATGCTCGCTAACTACATACCTCAACCAATTCGAATTAAAAATGTTTCCTGGATCTTTTGCGCTTATAATACAGGTCGTCGGTTTCACGTTTGAGCGACCAGCAGTAATTAGCGATCATCTTAACGTGGTTTTTTCCAGCAAAGCGCTTTTCTATTGCCGAGATTTCCTGGTGAAATCGTTCACCTTGCTCGTCGCTAAACTGATCCAGATTATCCGGGAAGAAATCCAAGTGAGAGTGCAAAAAATGTATCTTGATTGACATTTTGCATCCCATTTCTCCATAAGCTTCCAAAAGCTCTTGAACCACTTCCTTATAATTAGAACTTCTTTCATTTCCAAGATAGTTATGACATAAAGAGATAAAACTCAGCCATGCTCTCTTTTCTACTTCGTTCAGTTTTTCGACCAAATTCTCATCAATCATCAGCTTGCGAATCTGGGGTCCGATGAAAATGCCTGTAAAGTAAAGAATTAAAATGGTTGCAGATGAGTTTTCGAAAAAATTAATAGTCGGCAAATTCTTCGAAAGTAGGTACCTTCTTTTATTTAAGCATCACTTAGTTTGGGAAAAACTGTTTCCAGGTGCAGAAATGACTCGCTGTTTTTGTCGAGTCGTTTTACAAATTGTTTCATGTAGCCCAACTTTAGGTGCAATGGCGGCAAGATAATGTTATCAGGTTTTACTAATGGGATATTGAGAACATTTTTAATTCCAATTTGAAACCCCTTTCTCGGAGGCCACACGCTACACTTGTAAAGATCCTTGGCACGACTGTCCCATTCGCAGAAATAGCACGGATGCTTAGTGTAGCCTCCTTGCATTCCCAGAAGTATTGTCAGAACTTTGAGGTCTGAGACAATTTGCCATTGATGTTTATTGTAATTGATTAATCGTAAAATTTTTTCCATCGTTTGATACGTCTCTTTCATATCAGTAGCGTATGCTATTGGAACTGTTGGCAACTGATTCTCGTTGTGAATTAATACTACTTTCAGACCTACGAATTTCGTGAATTAAACGTAAACTTTTTAATATTGCTTAATTTTGGTTTTCTCACACTTATGATAAATAAAATACTTACTTTTGCAAGAACCGTCCAGAAATAATCGCCAATCTTTTGCGCAGTACACGTGATCGAAGGCAGCAAACAATGCATCCACATCAACACAATATACAAGTTTATTGTCTATATCATCAGCATTAAAAACTTCTTCGAATGACGATAAGTCTTAGTTTCGTGTGAATGTCACTTTAAAGTCATCATCCACTACGTTCCACTGCTTTATTCGTGAACCCAGGATTTCTGTTTCTCTATAAGATTCAAATCTCGACTAAAATCACTATAATCTTGGCTAGATATAAAATGTCGTTCCTTTACTACTGCCCGATTTGGAACATACGACGAGTCCTCATTTTTTTCAATCGGGAACTCGCTGCAAGGGTCTGCTTGTCCGTTTGCAGTTGGCTCCCCTGTGTTTTCTTTCGGGGTTGGTCTCGATACAGTCAACACATTAGCATATTTTATGAGATTGCGAGTTTTGTAGTGATGGCCAACGGTATCTGTTTGGCAGAAGTAGCAATCTTTCGACTTGTGATACGGTTGATAATGCCAAGTCATGGGAGTCTCTAATAACAAATGCTGGTTATAACACCTACCGGATTTCACTTTCTTCAGTACTGCAGAGCACGTCGAGCAAACACTTTCGGGTTCATACCAAGCACTTTCAACGTATGAGAGTTTAAACAAGTCGTTGAAGGAGTGAACCACTGCTTGATTCTTTTTAAACTCCGAGCGATGTGGCTTGTCAACAAACAAGCCACACACGTAACAAAACCGGTTGCGTTTATCACACATTTCAATTTTTTTGGAGCGAATGATCCCGTGTAATTAATTACGCGAAGTTTATTAAGAATATGACGTTTTAGTGACTGCATTAATGACCAGATTCGCAATCTGACGGTTGATGAAACAAGTAGAAAATACAGCTGAGTTTCATCTCTATGGGTAATAGCTATCTTGTAAATGAAGAAAGTTCAATATACAAGGAAGTGGTTCAAGAATTCTCGGAAACTAATTTAGAAATTGTATGCAAAATGTCCATCAAGATCCATTTTTGGCATTCTCATTTGGATAATCTTGGTCAGTCTAGCTACGAACTAGGTGGCTGATTTCATCAGCTTTACAGGAAAAAATTGTATTCATATCGGTATCGTTTCTCAGTTCAAAGTCAGAAATAATGCCATAAAAAAGTTTGCAGTCTCGAATTAGTAGTATATATTTACCAAACCCTCATTCTAAATCAAGTATATGATAAACATTAAAAATAAAAGTGCATTATTGCTCTGTTAAACGAAGATTAATTGGACAAACCGACATATCTCGACTTAGGTCATTATTGTTTGCGACCACTGATATATATGTTTTTAATCTAACTATCGCTAAAAATGACTATTTGTTACTTAAAACACCATCAATGTCCTTAAACTTAACCAGTTTCTTAACTTACGCACAGTACCCCTATAGGACGTTTGAGACCAAAACATGAAATTTTGGATTATGCTGCATAACTTGAAAACTTTAAGTTCTTTCCAAAAATAAAAAAGTGGTATAATTAAGTAATGAATGCCTCTCGATGACGCATGCCCAAAGAGGTTCATTCATTGTCAATTAGTGGCAAAAAAATGACGTCGAAACCGGAAAACCGGATGAAATTTCCAAAAATTTCAACTTCTGGCTTAAAAAACATATCATACTTTTTTCAAATGAATAAAACACTATATACATTTCGAAAGTGTCAACAATTCTCTACCCAAAACCGTTGAGAATTTTGAAATCGGTTGAAAATTGGGTTTTTAATGAATTTTTTTTTAAGAAGAAACTGAAAAAACGGTTTTTTGGCCTTAAATCCAGATTTTGGGGGTGTTAAAAACTTTTTAATGGCCGTTTCGTGTATAACTCGACCAGACGAACAATCTCTGCTAGGTCGCTTCAAAAGTGTAAAATGGCTGTCGCACTGTGTAATTTTTAACCAGAGAACCTAATAACCACGCTAGTGCGAACAACCTCACTCTCTTTTTCACTTTTTAAACGAGATATTTCTGTATATTTTTACCGCATTGATTTTAAGTATGTATTTTATTTTTTCTTTTAATAATTATTAGGGATGTCAATCCCGGGATCCCGGTCTTTTTTAAGTCCTGAATATCCCGGGATTAGTCGATTTAAATCCCGGGATTGGTGGAAACAATTTTTTTGTTAGCCAATTAAATTTTTATCACAAATATCCCCTCTCAAGGGCAAATTAAGAATTTTTAAAATATAGTATAATATATAGCTCATTTTATAACAAAAATCATGTAAATCAAAATTTCACACTTTAGAGAAAGTTGGTTTAAGTTCACCAAATTATCATAAAAATATCAAACTTTTTAATCATAATTTTTACAAAAAATTCTATTATGCAGTTTTATAGCCCATTCAATTTAATACAATAAAGTGCAATTTTAAGGTTGCTAAAAACTTCCTTGATTTTTAAATTTTTTTTATTGACGATGTTGGGCATTTTCTCCTTATAACGAATTTTTTTGTGGCAAAAAAATATAAAATGTCAACGGGATGTTTTAGCAACTTCAAAATTGCACATACATATATATTTTTTTAAATTAACAAAAAAAAAAATACCATGAAAAATATTCTGAATATTGCAATAAAAAATCTACGCAAAATATTTCTGTGAGTGACCGTATATGCATTTGTACATGGAGTACAAAAACTATGTTATAAATTAATGAGGATATGTACGTACATACATATATGTTTGTCAAATTTTATGTTTGTTTTTTGGTTGATTGAAAATACTGATTTATCCCCTTAATAAATATGTGAATGAATTACAATAAATTGTACTTTTTTTTGTTATATCAATCTGATTTAAAATACTATAATAGGATGATCACAGATGTGTTGCACTTTTGCCTGAATTTCGAGACAATCCCGGGATCCCGGGATTGTATTTTCAGATCCCGAAACTCCCGGGATCGACAAAACCCCGAAAATTGACATCCCTAATAATTATACACTGAGGGAAATAATGCATAGTAAAAATTAATACTTTATATTTGATTATCGTTTTAAAAATGTTCGTATTTAAAAATAACCCTACAAGTCATTGCTGAGCACTTAAGGCAAAAATTATAACACATTTACACTTTTTTCTTTACCCAGCAAAAACTAAACTACTTCATTTTCAATTAGGGTTGCCAGACGTACTGCCATTGGGAGTAAACGTACTTCTTTTTATTGTAATGTACCAACTGTACGGCAAAATCAACTTTTTTTCTGGGTATTGGACCAAACCATTTTTTTTAAGATTGAGTCATAGGTACAACATTAATTTTTCTGTTTTTCGAAGTTGGTATGTGTATAAAGTTAGCGAAACAACATCAAGCAAAAAATGTCGCATATCCCCATGAATTTGCCGTTTGTTTTGCCGTTAATTAGTTGTGGAAAAAATAATTTTGTCGCTCTGGTATTTTTCTAGATATAAGGTGTTTTCCTAACTTTATATAAAGTTAGCGAAGCACCCCTCCAAACTCAAAGACAAACGAATTAGCATTATGTAAAAATTTGCCGTTTTTTGCCGTTCTAAGATGAGCCAGTTTATTTTTGAAAAAAAAAAATAATTTTTTTAAATAAAAAAAAATTTGTTTGCTATTTTTTTTCAACGTTCAATAATTTTTAGAAGATAAGGATAATAATATAATAGAAAAGCAAACCCGGTGTCTTTATGTACCACTTTGAAATTTAAACAAACAATAATCACCATGGTTAAAATTGAAAAAATTAAGAAGCTTTCTTATCACAATCAAACGACAAAATCAAAAACAGTTTTAATGCACAAAACAAGCCAAACGGCAAATTATGCAACAAAAAAATTAATTGTTTTTATTATTTTTAACCAATTTTTAAACCGCTTTCCAAGTCCCTATTTTTTTTAAATAAGGCTGTTTAAACAAGAAACAATTAAACGACAAAATCAAAAACAGTTTTAATGCACAAAGCAAGCCAAACGGCAAATTATGAAACAAAAAATTAATTGTTTTTATTA